CTCAAGCAAAAGAAAAAAAAAATTATTTAAAAAATTTTAAAATTAATTTTTTTTATAAGAACTATCATAATCTGGTATAGTACCAGTTGAATCTTACAAATGTTTTGTCTTTCTCACATGTGGACTTAATAATAGACAAAATTGTTTGAAGGTTCAATGGGTTTATAAAGGGCAAGATAAGCAGCGTGAAAAAAAACATCTTATTAAATCATCCCAATATTTGACGCTCACAAATAATGTTATTCGGTTTTGAAAACGACATGTTTGTATCTACATTGATTGATTTATTGTATTTGTTTTACGCTCCAATGGATGCAATTTATATCAATTACGAAGCGTGCTGCTTAAAACCTGAAAATTAGAGCCGCCCCTGGCAATGTTGGGTAATTATACGATATTCTTCAAGTGGCTGAAACTCCAGTGTCCAAGCGGTCAGTGAGTTCAGATTCACAAATAATGACGAGCAAGTGTCAGTGGCACGGTGTTTTTAGGGGGGGGGGGGATCATTTGATTGTGTCATTGAGCAAGAGAGGAAAACTGAAGGTAAAAAAAGCAACAGCAACAACAACAACAACATCAACAACAGCGACAATAATTTAAAAAACAAAACAAAACAAAAAAAAACAGAGCGCTATATTGTGACGACCAGCAATGGTATGTTTATAAAATTGTCTGTAATTATGCAACAATATGTAGTTGTACGTGGATTTATGTTTTTAAATATGTGTTTATGTATGTATATTTGCCCAGATTTCCCAACGAGAATCAGAATTATTATTTGTTTATCTATCTAAATCTTGAATGAAATTACATTTCCTGATCGGGAAAGCAACTCATGTCTTTTCTATGCAACAACTAAGAGACCAACCATTTCACCAGAGACGCCGATGTTTGTATCAAATAAGGCAATAGCTTTTTTTTTGTTTCGGTCTTTTTAAGTAGACAGATGCACGACACAACATCGACCATTTAGAGCAGGGAAACGTATGGCAGATAGACTGAAGCAACAGTAAGAAAGAGAGAACGAAAGACTTACTAGAGGCGCCATCTAACTACCCGTGGGCGTTTTACTTTAACAATTAACAACATGTAATGATCAAAAGAAAATGTGTCTCGACGTGCTGAAACAGGCGCTTTTTAAAATAATGAAATAGAAGAAACCGTCATCGTTCCGCCCGCCGGCCAATTTTTTTTCCAATGTTTTATTTTGGCTCAACACCTTTTATGTCCATAAAAGACATTTCTGTGTGAATTTAAATGATTTTTAAAAAACGCCTATCAAAGGCATACAAAATATAAATTTGCAGTTTCCAAAGACGCTCAAACTTTAGGAGTCACCAAAATTTGGAGGCCATTTTCTCGCTCATTTTATCTCTGACATCAGTCAACCCTCACCTTTTTCAATCGTGAATAATTCAAGTTCTATTCAAGATCGATGCCTAAGTTTATTTTTACCAAAAGCAAGGGAAATGAAGAGACTTTAATATCATACCAATAACTCCATATCGGTACCTTGAAATTACTATGTTCTACCTGACATTTTTTGCCGTTTTGAGTTTCTAAGACTATGAGGTCAGAAACAAGACGTTTTATCTGTTCTATCAAAATTGCAAGATTTTCCGGAGTCGTTATCAAGAAATTTAAAGAACTGCATTCGAAAATGCTTGACCATGTTGTGAAAACAAAATGTTTAACATTAAATTTCTCAAAACAACGTACTGAGCAGATAGAAATATGTAATTCTAAGGTAGCAATATCTAAAACTAAATAGACAAGCGCCTGATTCCACAGTGTTGTGACACAGAACAAATGGATCTTCCCACCGCACAGCGTACTCACCAGTTCCCTGTACCAGATGTAGGAGTTGATGACGTATGGGTATACCTGCAGCAGGATGAGCACGAAGCGGACGATGAAGGAGAAGACCAGATGCTTGTGGATGGAGATGCGACTACACTGGAGAGATCTAAAGGGAAAGTAGAAAGTAATGATCTATTAATTAATAATAAAATAGTTAGTATAGCTTTTGTGTAGCGCAAATTCACTCTCAGAGGCAAGCTGCATGCGTTTTACAATCTGTATCATTACCCCAGCAGACATGTTAGCATTCTGAAACAATCTTAAGTTCCCGGAAAGCCTACAGTGTATGTATCATTTTACAGACGCTAAAACACTAACATACTGACAAGGTCTACCGCTATCAATGGCCAGTTACCCATTCACATCAAGGTAACAAGAGGAAATTTCATGAAAAGCGGCTTTCTTTAGGACACAAATTCGGGCCTGACCCTCGAATCCGCAAACTCACGATTACGAGCCAGGTAGTCTGACAACAAGACTGCACACGTAACAGTTCACACAGTTCAGTCCTGTTTGGGGCTATTGACGTATATGCAAAATATATCGAACATCTGGTTCCATTGGCAAAGGAAAAGGGATTAAATTCATAGAAATAACACAAAACTAACGTTATATTCACGAAAGTATATGAAAATACAAATATACACCCTCAGCTTCGTACTAGATGTCATAATTATTATAAATAATATCGTAATTTAATCACATCTACTTGATTAAGGGGGGGGGGGGCACCAAAACTTGATGAAATTATCAAAACAGCAAAACATTATTTGGCCATTTTATCTTGCTGACTGCCAATGGTCCGTGATATACAATCGACATTGTCTTAGTTTTAGCCCGATAGTTAAAAATTGCGTGCAGAACGAGATGGAGCTGTTGAATTATATAGTACCAATACGTTATAAATGTCAGGAGCTTAAACTCATGTCAATACACACTTGACAATGTTATTGAAAATGAGGAGTAGAGATTCATGTGACTGGCAACTGTTTTCTTTCTGAGTAATGCCCTTTAAAACAACAAAAGAGAAGCTTCAAAGAGAAGGCACTAAAGACATAAACAGAGGTACTGATTGTTCTTTGGGGGACTTTTGACTGAGTTAAATCTATCTTTATCTTTTCTCCTGCTTCAAAAGAATCAAGTGACACATCGCGAGGACACGATCCACCATTCAAACTATCGAGTTAGGAAGAATGTCAATCACAAGGGAAAATGACAACAACAAAAAAGATAGAAGTTAGTTTGGAATCATTTTAAAACGATTTGAATGTGATTGTAATGGAAACTCTAAAAGGTCTTCATTCGTACGCGGGTGACCTAAATGTGTCAAATGCTGTAAATGGGGGAAAAAATCCTTCCCTTTTTTTTTCAAGTTAAACGAACTTAGACAAGACAATTTTGTCTCATTTGTTTCCGAAACGAGTTTCCCAAAACCTCTCGGCAAACTTTTCTATCGTCGTTATGTGTGTGTGAGTGTGTGTGTGAGAGTGTGTATGTGTGTGCGTGTGTGTGTGTACGTATGCATGTGTGTGTGTGTGTGTGTGTGTGTGTGTGTGTGTGTGTGTGTGTGTGTGTGTGTGTGTGTGTGTGTGTGTGTATGTGCGTGTCTTTAAAATTGTTTAACGTTCTTATATGATAAAGCCTATGTTCCTATGTGCCAGCTCAACACTATGCATTACTGTTACTGTAAGTGTTGGAATAATACGCTTCAGAGGCGTACATTAACGTCATTTCCATGAAACAAAACACAGTTATAAGTTGAATTTAACTCGGTTAATATAGTGAAGAGTTTGTGACCGGAGGCGTTTCCTATGATATTTGAACTTATTCTTGTTAAGCTTTAGATCAAATACAGCTTCACTTATCCTTGTATCGTTTTGATTTTATACTGCAAACACTTCAGCTCTAATGTTGCAGATGGAGTATCAAATGATCGGATTTTGCTAAGTCTTTCATTTTTATGATAACAAATCGTTCTGTCTCAAAGGTAGTTTCTTTGTAAATGTTTGTGATTTGCGTCTTACTTTTATAGGAGTACATCTCTTTTTGTAGCAACAAACGCATTTGAATCCGCCACGTTTTCGTAACTCACTGTTTGGGATGAAGCTTTACTTAGCAGGAACAGTACATGTAATGGGAATTTGTTTTTCCTCCGTCGGAAAATGTCGAAAAAGTAACTTGTAAGTTCAACAAGCCTTACAGAAACTTTAATTATGTCAATTACCAATTCTCTTAGCAGCGCAGTTCACTTCAATTTTAAAGAAGCCAAATGTTGCTTTCTGGGGTCCTCGTAAGTTTGGTTATTGTGACCACAGTTTTAAAAAAAATGTTCTTCCAATGAAGTTTTATTACAAATCTTGCACGGGGAAAAAAACAATTACTCGGGAAACTTTTTCTTCTTCAAAGTTTAAATGTTAACGTAAAGTTAGTTTTTCGTTCTTACTGATAAGCGTCTGGGAAGTAGGTGTGAGATAACATTAAATATTTCCCTAACTATGTCAGCTCCAAAGAGGTTTGGTCAACCCACACATTGGTCGCGGACACACAGTGTAAACTGCAATAACATCATTTTAACAATAAAATTGCTTGACATACATTGACTGCATAATATTGCTGCTGGAACAGTTCAGAAAACAAGAAAAGAAATCGGGAAAGCTGTGGTTTAAACTCTCTGTTCTACCTTACGTATTTTGATGGCAAGCCTCTTGCTCTGCCCCACCTTGTGGGCGGTAAATATTTGCTGTTTGTCTTTGTCTTTCACCTTATAGATCGACCAAAACTTCTCTCAAAACAACATTTTTCTTGGTAATATTAGAAGCTCTTTCAGCATTATCAACATTATTAATATTTTCCATTAAGCCTTTGTGAGAACGAAAGAGGAGATCGCATTATCGGCTTTTCTGTTCTCTGGTAATGACATAACAATGGCTCCTTCCTTCAGAAAAGAAAAGAAAAAGAATCCTGAACAAACAAATAACTTTATTTATAATACTATAGTTTCGTTCTGAACAATAGCGTCCTTAATCTGGAACAAGGTTGATCTTTACCTCCGCCCACCCCCACCCCCAACCACCACCACACGCACACACAATACACATTATATAGAATAACTCAAAATAAAGTGAAACAACTGTGTCCATGTGCCCCCACCCCTTTTTCATTTGCTCTACGTTTTATTGTTATTATTCTTGATGAATGTTTTGTTTTCTCTACCACAACCACCACATGCGTTTCTTTATTTCTGCCTTCTATTTCTCGATATATCAGTGCCTTAGCTCGGCTTATGTTAAAATTTCAAAAGTCAGAAAATGAAAATTTATTCTCACATGTAGTAGAAATTGTACAGCTCAAACTGGAGTATGGAAGGTTTCCCGTGGTGGAAAAACGAGAGAGAAGGAGAGAGAAAGAGAGAGAGAGAGAGAGAGAGAGAGAGAGAGAGAGAGAGAGAGAGAGAGAGAGAGAGAGAAAGAGAGAGAGGGGTGAGTGTGTGTGTGTGTGTGTATGTGTGTGTGAGTGAGTGACACGTATCCCTTGAACAAGTACAGCTATGTCGTTAAACTTTCCTTTTGTCGGACACAGACACACATGCCGGGCCTTTATAAAATCTACATACCGTTCAAGGATAGTTTGGTTAGAAGGAAAATTGTATCCTATATCCTATATGTTGACATTTGACAAAGAGATTTTTGTACATTATGTGTACGCAACAATGGATCATGAAAAAACAAAAGGATCACAAAAGGATCGAACCCGTCGACTTGGGAGAAGAAAAACTTCTCCTCTTTTTATACGCCTGTAGCATCTACGGAATCGTTTCAAAACGGCAAGATAAACCAGGGATGAGTTCAACAACATGCGACCTGTCAACCCACTATTAAAAAAAACGACTGTATTGAGACAATGGAAAGAATTTGGACTCCGAGCAAGGCGCCCAGCTCATCGCATAAGATTGATGCTCTACAATGAAAAAGGCTTGATTGGGCAAGAATACATTCACGGTGGTCTCGCCAGCTATGAAATAACCACATATTCTCCGACGAATCCAGGTTTCTTTTGGAACGTCAAGATGGAAGAAAATGCGTATTTGTTCCTTAATGTCTAAGTCAGGCTAGAGCTTTTGTTGTTGGAAGTGTGATGGTGTGGGGTAGAATTACAGCAGCTGTACGTGGCAATTTGACAGCACATCGATACGTTGACGAAATACTTCGGTCACACGTCATTACAGCCATTCAAAATCAGGGACTACCCTTGATGAATGACAATGCCCCAGCGCATAAAGCTCGTCTAGCCACCCAGTCCCTACATGAAAAAACATTCCAGTTCTTCAACCGTG